TAAATAATCAACTTTCTTTCAAAACAACTGAGTGCGCGGGCCTGCCGTCGCTCCATATACAGCCTTAAACGAGGCCTATATTTGACTCTTTTAATAAACGTTGATTTTTTTTTGCCATTAAGTTCTAAAACGAAAAAAAGCCTGAATAAAGATATTACATCTCACCTACCTCCGATTTGAATGAAATCAAACAACAGAATTATTAACCTAATAATTGTAACCAAAAGTGTACGTACACCGCTAGGGGTTTAATCCACCTTTGACGAGTTGTGGGCAAGGAAAAGTAACATATCCACATTGTTGGGAAGCAGACAGCTCCTGGTTTTATTTACAATAAATCCCGCTTTGGAAAATATGCGTTCCGCGGGCGTGGAGGTGGCAGGTATGCAGAGGAGTCGCTTCGCAGCCAGAGCGAGCATGGGGTATCTGTCCTGGTTTTCTTTCCACCACACCAGTGGCCCTGTAGAGTCACATTTGCTTCGGTCTTGAAGGTAATCCTTCATTTTGTCGGAACTGGATCCTCTTTGTACAGCAGGATCATCATCTTCTGGAACTTGTCCACACAGTAACATCGCAGTGTTCTTCTCTTTGTCTGTTCTCTGTCTTTTGGACACGGGCGCATCATCACCGTCGATCTCTTGTGGCTCACCTGCACAGTGCGCGTGTTCCCTCGCGCTCATCCTGTCAGCCAGGTCTGACACAGTGACATAAGCTTCATTGCGCTTCTCATCTTCGAGAAATGGGAGCAGTTTAAAACGGGGGTCGAGTACAGCAGCTGTAATATAAACGCTGCTTGTCATAACCAGTCGTTCATATAGCTTCCATCTGCTGTCTATTTCCTCCACAAGTTTAAGCTTCATTTTACGTTTTGTGATAGCGATGCGTTGTTCTCGTGTGACAGCAGCTCTGTCAGCGTTATGAATGGCTTAAGAACAGCCGTAACGTCTTGTGCCATATTCCACTGCTCTGTGGTCAAATCCAATGTGCTGCTGTCTGCCCGCTTTGTGAAGTTTGGGTCTGATAAAACTGCAGTAATTGGCCAGCGCTGCTCAATGAGTCGCTCCAGCATGTAACAGGTGGAGTTCCACCGAGTGGCCACGTCCTGTATTAATTCATGCTGAGGGACTCTTTGCTGCTCCTGTTTTTCTTTTAGCCCCGTTTTTGCTTTGCTCCCCTTTTTAAAATGTCCAACAAGGCGACGTGCAGCACCCACCATGCGAGACACGGGGTCTTGCTTTAGTGCGCTGTTTACGCATAGTTGCAATGTGTGCCCTGCGCACCGAACCAGCTGCACTTCAGGCCACTGACCCGATTTCTTTAAATAATCCACAGACAGGACCATATTTGCAGCATTATCAGTGACAACTGAAACTCGCATTTCTTCAGGGATGCGAAACGCGTCTGCAACTTCAGTCAGTCGTGCCGCGATATTCGCCCCCGTATGCGCCTCTTCCATTTGCCTTGTTTCAAGCACAATACTTTGCATCTTCCAATCTGCATTTATGTAATGAGCGGTCACCGTTATGTATGCTTCCATCCGCAGAGATGACCACAAATCTGTAGTAAAACTAACTGCTCGGGCATGTTGCAAAGACTGATGGATTTTCTCTTTTACTTCCTCAAAACGCACGGTTATTTCGCCCTTCAATGTCTTCCTCGCTGGGATTGTGAACCTTGGCTCCAGTGTTTTAATCATTTCTCTAAAGCCATCTCCTTCCACGATATTCAATGGCCTCATATCTTTGGCAATGAAATTTACAATGGATTTGGTTATTTCGCCTTTCTTCTTTGCAGACAGAGGATAGGCCATGTCGAGCTTAGTTTGTGTGCCTGTTGCAGCATCTTGTGGTTGTATGACTTGGGGATGTGCCTATAAAGTTTACATAATTCACATTAAACGCAAGTGTCCACAGATGCCTTTAACAAGCTTTAACAAATCTAGCATACTGTACCTGTTTCAAATGGTAGGCCATGTTTGTCGTCGAGCTGTGGTAAGTGAACTTTTGCTTACATAAATTACATTCGACAGTTTTGTCGTCTGTTTTAACATAATGTTGCCAAACGAAAGACTTGGACTTTCTAGACATTTTTAAACAAAATAACTTGCGCCAATAGCCTACTGATGCGGATGAGATTCAGATTGATGCTGCGGTGCCGTGCTGTCTGCCAAGCACGTGTACTGAGCACATGCGGTGTTGCGTAATACACTTAATTGACAGCAGCGAAACTTAAATAGGAAGAAAAGTCTGTCTACTTACTTACTTACTAAATAAGTAGGCTACAATATTAAAATCGCACAAATGTCACTCATTGTAATTTTACTGTTTTGCAATTAATTAACTTTTAATGCTGAAATTGAAAGCCCCTGCATAGTAAAGTCTAGTCGACCAATGAAAATCTTGGTCGACCTCGACGGCATCGACCAATTAGTCGACTAAACGACCAAAGTTCCCAGCCCTACCATTTACCACAATTATATACTGACCCTAGGCCCTTTGGGATGTTGTGATGAACCCATGAACCACCTACTCATGAGAACTGTATTGTATTGTGAATCCGATATGTCAGATGGACTGGACGCATATTTTGGAAACTTGACTGGGAACAATCCATGCACTCAACATAAGGACATGATTTTAAAATCTCACTCACAATTCATATCATCTGGTATAATTTTCTCTCTCTCACTATATCCAAGCGGCAATAGTAAAGCCGAGTAGTAAACAGTGCATTTGAAATAACCACATCCAAATAAACAGAATTACATATATTTTTGCAGATGTGACAATGAGCAAAACCTCTGAAACTGCCCCCACTCCCCCGCTCTCTTGCCCTCTGTGGAAAAATCATGTGTGACATCCATCATTTTTATTGGCCATCTGTGAGGAGGCCTTTTCAAAACAGTGAAGTATCACTTTGGACAGTACTACCAAAATAGTCCATGCTTCCAGGCAGTGACTGATGCTGCACTGTGAACTGATGTATGCCACTTCACCGCTCCATAGCTACAGTACGTGGGTGTAGCGTTTCACTTCAGCAAATCCGCCCATTGTGAGGTTTATCGAGCATTAACCTTAGATTTCAATAGCGGAGTTCCACAGGCAAAGCGCAGCTGCTTTTTTGACAAGCACATTTTGAGCTGTGGAGAATGGAATGCCTCTGTTGTGTTGTGTGTATTGTGGTTAAGGGTCAGGCCAACAGAATGGGCTGTGGTTAGCGGCACAAGTAAAGTCGTAACCCGCGGAATAAAATCCATACAGAGCTGATTATCAATGACACGCTTGAAGTACAGCTGCAGTGGTTGTGTTCATCTTTAGACCTGGAAAACATCTTATTTGTTATTTTATTTAGTCTAGAGTTTAGTGTAGAGCTGTGAAAATTCACCTTGTGCTATGTGCTTATTCCTACTGTTCTGTAACTGGTGATGCAACACTGAAATTTCCCCACTGTGGGATGAATAAAGGATCTCTTAGTCTTACTTTTGGTTTGAATGAGAGGAATAAGCCCTATATGTGTAAGACATTTCGAATAAACGTGTGGCTATACCTTGCGCTCTTGAATACATCTGCTGGCCTTCTCTCTCTTTATGACTGTTTTTGTTTAAGGGTATTTTTCCAGCTGTTTTTGACAAGCACATGTTGAGCTATGGAGAAAGGAATGCCTCTGCTGTGTTGTGTTGTGTGTATTACTAACCAGGGCCTGGTTAGTACTGTGATGGGAGACCTCTGGAAACACCAGGTGCAGTGGGGCGGCTATAAAGTGCCAAACTGATGTTATGTCCTTAGGCAAGACACTTCACCCACATTTCCTGCCCTAAAATGACTCTGGTGCATGTGTGAATAGTTGGTGGTGGTGGGAGGCACAGATGGGTTGCCTCGCTGCCGTCAGTGTGCCCCAGGGCAGCTGTGGCTATAATAGTAGTTTATAACCACCATGTATGGAGTGAATGAATAATGACATGTGAAGCGTCTTTGAGCGCTATTTAAAACCGATGCATTATTATTATTGTGGTTAAGAGTCAGGCGGACAGAATGGGTTGTGGTTAGCGCAACCTACAGAAAAAAATCTATACAAGCTGATTATCAACGACACGCTTGAAGTTCTGCTGCTATGGTTGTGTTTAGCTTTAGAATTGCAAATTATCTCATACATTTAGGTTTGAATGAGAAGAATATACTCTATTATACACTTTTTTGGAAAGCAACCAAATAATGTCAAAAAGTACTGTATCTTCTCCCTTTTTTTTCCAGCCTTTGCAAGTACAAACAGGCACGTCTCTCGTTATTGGAATGGTGGAACATTTGGACCTAAATATGGAATCACTTCACTGGTCCATCTCTTTTCCAATAAACACAATCTATCATAATGTGTGAACATTCAACAAACGTTGTCCTCCATGTAATGACGGTTCAATGCAATTAATTAAATGTGCAAAGCCTATTTTCAGCCAACTGAAATGTAGAATAAAGAATATTGATGCTATTATCGACAACTTATTAACTCTTATGAGATTTGATTTGAGACAGTACTTTTGTATCATTATGGAGCAATCATGTGATGCAATATGCATTTATCACTTGGAGTGGGCTTTGCAGTCTTTTCAGGCCAGATTATCATCAGACATTTTTAAGACATTCGATTATTAAAAACTTCTGTGATGCTGTCTTATCCTAAAATAAGCCATTGTGGAGAAAAAAGCACAAAACAAATGCTGCCTTTGAGTTTAATACAATGAAAGGACAATGTAAAAGTATCCATTCATATCCAGCCATCTCCATCTCCATCGCCGTCTCAGACCAGTCCACTCAGTCCAGTTGGTCTGATGATGATTTGGTGACAATAACAGAGAGAGAGTTGTAGACATTTTTGTTGCCGAGTCTCAGTGTGAACTTTCCTCTCCCAATTTGTTTCCTCTGAATTCCCATCTTTCCAATATCACTAGTGCATAGGCGCCTGGGGACCTCCTATCTCCAGATGACTTTCACTTTTACCTATAGTGCATGTTTGGGGCGGTTGATTGCACCTCACTCAGCAACTGTGCCGACATGGTGGGTCCAGAGATGAAGATTTTAGACTATGTACTGAATGGGTTTTTACCATTCAGTGTCAATGTCAGCTTTGTTTGTATAGCACATTTACAACAACCCCAGCTGCCCAAAGTGCTTCACCAAAACAAAGATAGAAAAAATAAAACCAAACAGCTCGCTTAATGGTCGGTGGGGATTCAGCCGAGGTAACTGCAGCCATTGGTATCAGACCCAGACGTACATGTAGGGAAATGATAATTCACCGGAATTTAAAATTTAAGAATGGCTAAGGTCAGGCTGGTTTTCTGACCTCACAGATCTGACAGATATGCAGGGGCTAAACCATATTGGCAATGGTTTTAAACATCTTTGAATGTTAGAATCTTGAAGCGCTTCACTGGCAAATCTTACATGATAAATAATTCCTGGTGTGAGTCCTGGCGTGAGCATTCAGATGAAAAATTCTAATGCAATCAAACACTGCATCACAGACTTGAACAGTAGAAGGGAAAGAAGACCCAAGAACAATCAACAATCTCCAAACTAGTGAGAATACCCCCCAAAAATCTCGAGAAAAAGTAAAGCCTTTCTCATCCCATCTCTCTCCATCCCTTTCTCTTTCTCCCTTCTTCAACAGCGAAAAGACAACCTCCATTTGTGTCAAGTGCTGTTCTCAGGCGTACGGGATTAAAGCTGCAAAATGGCGTGTGTCACGGCCCTTCACGCCCTGGGGCCCCCCGCTAACATGTGAGAGCCAACATGCCTCTGCTGGCTATCATCTCCCATCTCCCCCTGTCACGGCGAGGAGACAGGCAGCCATCACACCAGCTGACAACTCGTATTCACGTCAAGCCAGCATCAAGCAGGGTCCGGGCCGATCAGAGCTGACTCGACGCAGAGCTGCTCCAAAAGTGGATATCTGAGAGGGAATCATGTCTGGCAGGTTGTGATGAAGAGAGGCCTGCGTTGAAAAGTCTTGGAAATCTATTATGTAATGAGAGAGAAGACGTCAGCTGTCATTTGTGATGGCAGAACATAGTGAAGGTATGACTGAGTTGAAACAGACATTGTGTATGGAAGCTGGGTTCGATTCTACCTCCAGATCATAGTTCCAGACGGGGAAAAACAAGCCAAAAAATGCTCAAATTTAGAAGAATGTATCTTAATTTGAGCACAAGAAACCAACATTTGTCAATAGGACAAGAAAAATAATCTTGTTTTAATAATATACAAGATATTTCTACCTTGGAATGAGACAAAAATGCTTCAACTTTGGAATTTTGTGTAAGATCTCAGTCATACAGGGATTAGTCAAAGCAAAGAAAGGTTTCTTACCCATCATCTATACTTCTGTTTTGTCCTTTATCCAAAGGACTTTTTCTTTCCCTTGAAAAAGTTCTTTGGATTGAGGACAACCTCGTCTGGAAAACCTGCTCAGAAGTACAGATGATGGGTGGGAAACCTTCCTTAGCTTCAATTCTTGAAATAACACTAAATAGCTTTGTTCCATTGGCAAATCTTGTTTTAACTAAGATAAAAATGAAGCTTAAGCGGAGGTTCAGGATGGTAGACTACCTACGTTTTCACACCAGGCAAGACCACGCCTTACTCAGCCTGTCATAATCAACTCATCACCTCCCTGCCAGCCGTGTCAATCAAGCCAGCGTTTAAAAGCAAAGCAAATGGACTTCAAGCTGCAACCACCTCCTCCCCACCTCCGCCTCAGGATTTCTTCACTGTCACATTCACTTGCCTTGTTGCTGCCACCACTGTCCATTTGATTACTTTTTGCAGTGTTCTGCATGGGGTTTGCATGTTCTCCTTGTGTCTTCTGAGAGGGAATCATGTCTGGCAGGTTGTGATGAAGAGAGGCCTGTGTTGAAAAGTCTTGGAAATCTATTATGTAATGAGAGGAGAAGACGTCAGCTGTCTTTTATGATGGCAGAACAGAATGTAGGTATGAACGAGTTGAAGCTGACATTCTATATGGAGTCTGGGTTCGAATCCACCTCCAGACAGGGCTCTTTCTGTGAGGAGTTTGCATGTTCTCCCTCATCCGGTCGCTCCCACTAAAAAGATTACTAATAAAGATTACGTACTGTATGTGCAACAGGTAGAATTTGTTGTGTATATTGGAAAATTAAAAAGAACATTTTCACTAAACCCCTATTTTTTTAGTTCAGATCATTTTTATATTTTGTTTTCGTTTCTGTACGTGACCTGTTTGAGCTTTTTTTAGGTTTGTTTATTAGAATTTTGCAAATAAAAATGTGGTGTCTAACGCAGATTCCATTGAGATGAGCTCACCTGGAGTGATAGGCTTAGATCATATTATTAAAAAAAACTAAATTTTGTTTTATTTATTTTTTATTTATTTGATATGGACATAACAATAGCATTGAACAGACCAGATACATTAAGCGGATCCAGAATAATAATTAAAATTTCCCCAATTTAAATTAGTTATTTGAATTGTCCCTTTGCACATACATCTATAATCGCAATTTTTTCATCTTCAGTTGCACATTACTCTTCCGTAGAATCCACAAGATGGCTAACTACCAACCAGATTTGATGGTGATTGTACCTCCCCAAACCTGTTGAGTGACCAACTGACAGACGACAACAGCAGCAGTAGCATCTGTCACCGCGTCACTTCCCCCGTCTCCTCAGCCCAGCTCCTATCTCCCGTCTCCCATCTCCGCTCCCTTTTACTCCGTCTGTCCGCCCGCCTGCCTCCCCTTATCACTCGAGGGTTCGCTAATTCACCAGCAAGGTTGCACCGATAAGAGTGTCTTCCCCTTCGCTCTCTGGCAGACGGACGGGTCCCTGTGTCCACCAACATGTGTCTGTCAGGATGTGAGCGTGACATGGGGACCCGAGGGTGACAGTCCGGCCTGGCCTTGAATTAAGGAGCATTAGAGATACGCTGATAAAGTGACAGTGTTGGAGCGAGCGAAGGGAGAAGGCGACAAGAGCGCTGGGAGAGAGGGCAAGACTGAAAGCATTCACTGGATACTCCGGGGGATATAAACAATAACTTACAATTATCAATGTGTTACAATAGTTCTGTAATTACTTAACTGAAGGTGAAAATAACTCACTTTAACAATTGACCATTTTGTAGAGGGCCATAAATAAACTTGGGGTACAAAAAACGAAATTTGACTACGACTTCTACATCTTAGAATGAACATTAAAGGGTAAAATGTGTCACTCCAGTGAGACAAATAATACATGTGTTCTTGTGATTATCTTTGAACGTTGGAGGTGTTTTTGTGCCAGTTTGGTTGGAAAACATCCTCTCGTGATGTCAACGTGTACAGCTGGGAAGTAAAATTCTAAATATAAAATTACGGCAACAATTTTGAACATACAGTATGTAGCCAATTCCTAAATGTTATCATCTTGACTGTGTTTTCAGGAAGGTAAAGTCAGTCAACTGTCATTCACTTTAAGGTGAAACTACGACTTATCTTGCCGATTCCATAGACTGCAAAGTATCAGCGATAGAGAATGCATTAGTATTTGGATGTGCCTGGGAGCGTGTCTGAGTGTGACAACTGCCTGAGGCGTGTGTGCGTGTAAGTGTGTGTGAGAGTGTATTTTCTGCTATGTGAAAATTTGCGAATCCATCTTTACAAACATGATTGACAAAATTGTTACCTGTTTTTAGTAAGGATGTTCCCCTAACTCTGAATTGGGTGGTGTTGCAAACCAAATCTGCATATTTAGCTATAAAGACTGATCCTGCAAAACCTACAAATCTCTTTATGTCCGTCACGTTTTGCTAAATGTCTATTGTGTGTACTTAGAGCACTTGTGTATAGTAAATAGATAGATAGATAGATACTTTATTAACCCCCGAAGGAGAAAATCAAGTGTCCAGTTGCAGCAGAAACACATCCATCCATACAAACAAAACAAATAAATGCATGATTCTAAAAGTAGTCAACAATAGTAGTACAATGCTACAGCAGAAGAGGTGGTGTAACAACTGGGTGGAGTAATAACTTTAACAAATAATATGTAGATTTTTAATTTCCTTTTATGCATGCCATATGCCAAAGCAATATCCTTGTTTGTGACTTCCTGTTCCCCACAATGGCAATAAAAATAATTCTGATTCTGAAAACACAAATTGTTATTATGCAGACAAACTTTTTTTTTTTTTCTATAAGTCCCATATGCATGATTACGAGCTCTGTACCTTCCCAGTTTATCTGTACAGACAACCGAAATAGACTAAGGGATCTGCTGACACAACCCATAAGCATATCGTGTTGGGGTGGTTGTATACATTTGAAAAGGTTGCAGAGAGAGACGTGGGTGCAAACGCTGACTCTGAATAAATAAAGGTTAAAAAGTGAAGGCATTGCACCATAACATCACCATTTGCAAAAAAAACTCCCGGCATTTTGACAAAGACAAGATGTTACGCGCTGTCTGGATGCGCGTACGGCCGAGTCAGCATGGCTTCCCTCACTCATACATCATGTTTTTCCCCTCTCTCTCCTTTTTTTGGATGCAGCAATCACTTCAGCATACAAAGGTAACATTTGCCTTTATAATGGATTTTTGCCATTTCCATTATTTTATTGGGCGGCAGAACTTCTCTCATCATTGAGCAGATATATAGGTTAACGTCTACGTGGCATTTTAGCGAAAGGCCAGCTTGAGTACCCCTCGGCCCCCGTATAAATAACTGATACAAAACTTGCCGTGTCAGAGAAAAAACGTGTACATAAAAAATAAAAACGAGCAGGAATAGGACTACATTTACAGTTTGAGAAAAGGAAAAGAGGTGTTAATACTATGAGTAATAGTTAACAATCTGGCTCATTATTTGTGTATGTCAGAGATCTGAACAGATATCAAGCAAGTATGACAGATTCTGGATGCAAATCACTCATTCGCAAACCAATCTGAGATGATATTGAAGTTAGAGCAGGTAAACTTTATGCCGAGACGATCTGTTTAATGTCACTCTTCACTCCTTACTCGTTTAAGTTTCTAAAATCTTATCAAATGATCCATAGGTGGTTGAAAGCCTACTACTACAACTGAAAAGTGTACTGAACTGCCTTGCCTTGCCTTGCCTTACTGAATAACATTGTTCTTGACATTCTGTGGATAGTTCTAAATGCACAAAAATCCACACAGTGACCTGAGTGACGATGGCAGCTTCCACCAATCATCTTTTTAGCAGCATGACATAAGGGCGGACAGGGCACCAGCCACTGTCTTTATAATAGATCAACTGTCAATCTCATCAAAGTGTATTGTATAGAAAATCAGAGAAGTGCAATTAAGTATCTAATCTTCTAAGTCTTTCTTTTTTCACATTATTTTGAACAGACAGGTGATATTGGATCATTTCCCAAGGCGCACTAATGTTCCCCAGCCCACTGGTTGAAAAACACGGTAGTAGATGATATTGTTGCAATTGTCAATATCAAGGCATTTTTTGGTTTAGCCATTGCTCTCATGTAATAAACAGTGGGGGCTATGGCCAATGACAACGGAAAATATCACATTTCTCAACAGTCATGAAGTATTTTTTAGTTAAACTTGCTATTTTTACAACAACTCAATTCAATAGATTTTTATAAAACCCTAAATCACAACATCAGTCATCTCGGAGGACTTTACAAAGTTCACGTGTATCTTGAAACCACTTTCATCCCACAAGCTCTCTCCACATGCCACTGTCATGTTTGCATTCTGTTTTTGCTTTGCCGGCATATTTCCGTTCCCTACTTATTCCATCAAATCAATTCCTTTTTTGCATATTTGATGACTCTCCCCACATCTCTGCGCTCTGTGACCGTTTGAGTGTTGCTCTGTGTATTCTCTCTTCATCCATGAATCTGTGGGCGCTTCTATTTTCTGCTTCGAGTCCAATCCCATCTCATCCAGCACC